GCCGTTCTGGTTGCACTTTTGGTGTGTTAAATTTGCACCTGGAACGGGCCATTCCGGATGCAAATTAACACACCAAAAGTGAAACCAGAACGGCCCGTTCCGGTTTTAGAACGGACCGTTGTGGGTCCAGGTGTTTTCAAAAAAAAATTGTGATCCACGTGGCATCCACGTATGCATCTACGTGGCATCCACGTGGCCAAAAGTTAACTTCGTTTAAATAATTTGGACGGAAGTCCCAAATTGAAACCAATTAATATATTTGGGACTAAATTGAAACCAATTAATTAATTTGGGACCAAATTGAAACAAAAAATAAAAGTGGGACTAAATAGAAACAAACAATTATTATAAGGGAACAAAATAGAATTTTAGCCATTTGAAAATTTTAAACTAGATCTCTTAACTATTTTTTTAATTGGATTTCTAAACGAAAAAAAATATATTTAAGATTTGTTTTTGTGAATTAAAACATCCAGAAGACAGTTATAGTTTTTTTATATTTAAAAATTTAGCTTAACGACCTATTTGAAATTCTTAAATAAATTCATAAAAATATGAAATAATTTAACTTTTTATATATAAAGTTTAATGATATTAACTGTGTAAAACAATTCACGCAATCAACGAATTAAAGTTTATTATAAATAATAAATTTGTTAATTTTTACAATAATTATTTTAAAAAACATATTAATTAAAAAATTTTGTTAATTAATTGTTTACCATGACAGATAAGAATGGCGCCAAGAGGGTATCTTAGCAAGAGCCAAAATTAAAATTAAAATTCTTTTAATAAATATATATAGGCATAAAATTTTATGTAAAATATAAATAATCATGTGTTTCTAAAATAATATAAAAATATATAATAGAAAAAATATTTAACTATACAACAAATTAAAAAATATATTTTTAAAAATACAAACTCTCAATCATTAGTTTTATATATACGTCACCAAGAACTCGTCAATTTATAATAAATTGACCCTAAATTTTATTTAGAAAAATCTTATTATGTTATAAAAATCTTCTAAATTGAAATGAATTATGTTATTTGTAAGATCCCCTTTCTCCCCTCCACAACTCTCATTTTCTTCTCATTTCTTCCCACTCTCTCCTTCCTTTGTTTTATCATTCTCAAGCTCCTTGGTGGCTGTAGGTGCTGAGCAGAGGGTCAGAAGCTAGCTGAGGGCACAAATTTCCTTCTTCCTTTGTCCATTTCTCTCCTTCTCTTCCTCTTCCACGGGAGCTCGGATTATTCTTCTCCGAGGTAAGGGAAGTTAGTTTTCGTGTGGATTGGTTGTAAATGAGTTTAGAGACTCATTCGTTGCTTGAATTCAGGAGATTGATGGTCAGATTGAAGAGTTGTTCGTTTTCAGGGTTTTTGGGAAAATTGGGGAAAATGGAGATTTTTATGCGTTTGATGGTTGCATGTTGAAAAAGAGATGGTTTTTGAGTTGTATGATGTGAATGTAGTTCATTTTATGGATTGCATGTGTTGGAGCTGGCTGATTTGCAGGTTTTGTGTGAAATTTTTGAAGTTGTGAGGGTTGTTATTTGAAATGGCGTCGGGCGTAGTTCTTGGCGCCGAGCATGTGTTCATCAGCGAACTCCATTGTTCAAGCACGTCGGGCGCAAGGTTGGTTGCACCGGACGAGCTTGGGACTGGAATTTCCTGGATGGCTCACGTCGGGCGTGGGGAGAACCGTGTTGGGCGTGATATCAGATAGTGACTCAAAAGTTGAGTTACTGTTATGGCATCGGGTGCAGAACGAGCGCGCCGGGCATGAGACCCTGTTGAGGTCTTTGCCTTACTTGCGCCGAGCGCGAGTTTGGTACACCAGGCTTGGGAGTCTTTGCCTCCTATTGCTCCAGGCGTAATTGGAATTGCGTCGGGCGTGTAAGAGCTTTAGAGCTCTCTGGTTGGGTTCAGGCCGGGCGCAAATTTGATTGCGCCGGGCGTGGAAGTGTTTTACTTTATAACTTAGGAAATGTTGATTTTTGTATAAGATGAGAAGATGTTAATCTGAGATGTGTTGTATGTTGTTAATGCTGTTAAGTTAAGTTGTGCTGAATGTTGAACATGCTATTTAAATTGTTGAGCTGTATTGTTGAATGTGAGTTGATTAAGCTGTAATGATGAGTTGTTGATCACTAGGACTAGAGGAGATGTTTTCGAAGTTGTTCATCACGTTGTGTGGATTGAGAAAGTTGTGGTGCTCATAGAGCACAAATTGTTTAAAACCCTCCTTGGGAAGCAGTCCCTTGGAGTGGTCATTGTGTTGTTCTCCTCTAGTACTTAGTTGGTCCCGTGTGTGGGCAAGGTCGAGGCACACGTGTACAAAGTGATCACGGTATAGGGGCCAGGTCGAGCTATACCGATTACAAGTGGCCAACCGAGTAAAGTACGAAGTCAGGAACTTAGTTCCTAACTGAGTATCGGAGGGTTGTAGTATTTGGAGGATAGTCGGTAGGCTAATTCCATAGGTGGCTTAGTTAAGCTAGCTAATGTCGTGGTAGGCCTAAAACCCAGCTGTTCTATCCTGACATAGTACTATACTTCCTTGTTTAAGTGGCAAAGTCTGAGAAATCATGAAGTTGTGGATTGATATCCAAATTTTTTGTTTACTTAGCAAACCCCAAAAGGTTCTTTGTTGTCGGTTCGGTAGGACCTAGCCACTTAAACTGCTCACCATGTTGTAGGAGATCTCCGAGTTGATATGCGTGACGACGTATAAGCTATT